TAAACGCCGTACTCGGTATACTTGCAACTATTTGGCAACTAAATCGGTAAAAATGTCTCAGGAAATTGTTCCATATGGAGTTTCAATGGTAATATCTAATTAGCCAAATGTTTCCCATTTGTGTCGTCTCGTAGACAGTAAATGTGCGTTAGGTATTGTAATCATTGCATCAATAAAATGCGGTAAAACATGCTGAACTACTGTATGACTTACCCGTGATCAAGTAGAACTGACCAATCACAGGACCTGCGTGAAACCAGTCACACCGATAGGTGATGCGATTATACTGATTCGGGTGAAGCTGTTTCCGTACATCCTGCAGTCGGGAGGTGGCCGGGGGGGGGGAAGGTGAAAGATGTTAATGTGAGATGACCGGCGTAGAAGAAACAAATGTAGCAAGGGACCTCGAATAGAAACAGGATTTCTATGTGTACTTAACTGATAGTAGTTACTGTGACAAGCGGTGATCAAGTCCAGATTAGATTCATATGGAAATTACATTCGCAAAGTGATAATCGTAAAACATACTGTACACTCGTTCCGTCAAACCAACCAAACTGTGATATTCAAAAGGAACAAGAGAGTATTTTTGAGTGTTTATCAAAATTGAAGTGTTTTGTCGGGGTCATGTTTTAGTTTCACAGACAGAGTTATACTATGTTTCTTGAGTAACAAATTTTGTACCTGTTTGCATTACGAAAAAGCAGATAGACAAATGATTTATGTCATTATAGTCTATCTTTGCGGCCCTAAGGAGTCCATCAGTGTTCCGTATACAATTTACTCACAAGCAGATAAGTTATTTACCCCAATTCCTAGACAGTAAAAGGTGAAAAAATGATCGGGAAACCATGGAGAATCACATGAACACCTTATGCACCATACACAGAAATTCTTCTATCTTAGCGGAGTTTGGAATATGTGCACAGACCAGCTAGAAGCCTCAAATGTGTATCTTCAATTTTAGTTACAGGTTAAGGGTCAGGAAATTGCAGGAGCATCATGACAAATATTAACTTTACAAAGAGAACTAAGTCATCGTTAGTGAGAATGAAGGCGGAACAGTATTACATTGAGTGACACACGGGTTGACGGAAAGCACTCGAATATAAGACTCTACTGTACACCTTTCGGTCTCACGGAAAACGATCCATCTAATCAATTTGGAGGCGTACTGATTCAAAGTTTTATTAATGACTCTTGCGGGCTAACGACTACATTCATCTTGTGACTTACAGTTGACGTTATAGTTATTCAAAGCGTTCCAGTGGGCATAATAATGATGGATTTGACGGAGAGCAATGATCGCAATATTAATACTACTCGTGCACGGTTATTTTCTACTCACAGGATAAACTTGTATTCCCCAGGGTGTGTACCATGTGAATATTCACTGCAATATCAAATTTAGTAATTTACTCTTCAGTTGTTTGATCTCATGATCGAGAACCCGATGCAATCGCAATTATAGTCAGCGAGTGGTTACCGTGGCTACGAGATACGCAATTGAACAATATGCACCGGAAGACTGGATACATTGGACCATATTCTGCTGCGAACGGAAGTACCCTCGTGCTGTCCGGCGATGGTGTAGCTCATTCTTATTATTATGTTATCTAGACATTTTACGAGAAACTGATCCCAATAAAGTATTTTCTGATTGACCTATCTTTATTGTTCTCATTATAATCACATCGGTAAACCAATCTTCGGGAGCACTACCATGAAAAACTACAGTAACAACATCAGTTAAGGAATAAGCGTCTAGTTGGGAAAGTTATTTGTGCAAAAGTATTGATCTGTAGATCGTCTTACCCAGAAAACTAGAAGGCTTCAAATGCTTGGTTATTTTAATGTGGTATGTGCATAAGAAGCTAACTTGTCTTTTCCATCGTTTTTATTTTTTCGCACTAGAAATGTTTAGAGTACCGAATGATGAATGAACATGTAATGTGAGTTACAGGCGCGTATGCTATCCTGTATTTTCTCCTCCGATTAGCAGTCAGTCAGTCGGTCAGTTAAATTTAGCACGAAAAGGTTGAGACGTTTTTCAGTGATTGTTGCCTGAAAACCTGCTTAGCAGGCTATGCAGAACCTGGGTTTAAGTTCCTCAACGGACCGAAAGATGGCATTCAAAGGCAGCTGTTTTTACAACACGCATGAGGCCAATTGTTTAGTCTATTGTCTGTGAAGATGTAGGCTACATGTGAGGAATGGAAGATTCGATTTGATAATATGAAGAATTGATGGTGTAAACTAGGCGTGAGCTGAAAGCTGGGAAGTACCGGACAGTGGTTTCGACCTCTTTCGGGTGTCATCGACAGTACGAATCCGTCGACCCAACTGAGGATCGAACCCGGGATCTCACACGCAGAACACAAGCGTGCTTCCCACTCGGCCACCGGACGGCTGATCAAACTGTTTCGTATTTGGAATATACACGATATATCACAACCTTTCTTCGAAAGCTTGTTGCGGGCAACGAATCTCGCTCATCTCAACACTAGCCTCCCGAGGTTATGGCTCGACTGAAAACTTTCCCAAGACCCTATCAGGTAGAAGCAGCTGTCCAGTGATTCCCAGCTTTTCAGCTCACACCTTATTTACACGATGGTGTCTTCATATAAGATAAAGGTTACTCAACTACTACACCTTTTCCCATCAAGCCTTAGCCACAACCCGTAGTCTTTTAGTCTCGATGCACAAACTTTCGTCATACCACTGTAGGTGAACCAGATCAAAAAGTATTGAACTATACTCTGAAGTCAGCATGTTTTGAAACAATTTATTTTCTATAAATGTTAGTGTTGCAAAGCTTGGTTAGCAAATGCGAAGGTGTGGCGGTCACACGCTGCACCACAGATTGATTTGAGATTTACACATTGTGGCCGTATTGTCACACCTTCTGGCACACCCTGTACAGCTTCAGTGTTTCAGCCTGATTTGCAATATTCCAGTGAATAAAAATGTACGAGGTGTACAAAGGTGTGACGATACGAGCAAACATATGGTGACCGAACTACTTAATGCCAAGACGTGATACATGTATGTGCATATGCTTTTGTTACTTCAGTAAGGTTCAACCACGACACCGTTCAATTGAGTGCTTTTCTAGCCCAAAACTACATCAGTCGAATCAGACAATTTTTTACCCACAGTGGTAGAAATTACAGTCGATTTTATTCACATTGTGTATTGCGTACCTTAGAATAGCAATCAATACATACAATAGCCTTCCGTAGCTACCTCACGCATTGCCTATGACGGAAAGCTTAACTCAATAAGTTAAGAACCAGATTACGGGTTTGAACTACGCACCGTGGTTGTAGTACTTGCTTCAATTTTTCCGGCTCATTTGACTCTTTGCAATCCCGCATTTTTATTCAATATTCCCAGGCTTTGAATATACAAGTTATACGGTTGTTTGCAAATTCAAACGCTTTTCAGACAATACACACCGATTTGTTTCTCTAAGGATCTAGTGCTGGTGTCAGACAGTGGATTTCAACAGCCAATCACGTGAGATTTGTCAAAACAAAATTCTCAATGTTGAACATAATCGAGAGTATTTTCGTCAGTAGAATCCTACTGATGCGTACATAGTTACCAAATTTGTTTATCGTAGACTGGCTCCATGTGTGGAGCAACATGACGGCAATCTGTCCAAAGGAACAACAGAGTTGCCCGGGGGAAGGCGATGAAATTGCAATGCAATTGTAATGCTGTTGTTGTTGTGGCCGATTGTAATGCACGTTGAATGCTCTCCCCCACCCACCTCCCACATTCGATTTTAATGTTCTAAAATAATTTCAGTTTCCGGGAATCTGTGGTTCTACAGACCGTAGTGAACGGAATGGGTTCATACGACTTTGCTATTCGTTTGGCATGCTGGCACAGTGGGGTTTGTGCCAACATATTATTTTTCAGGTAAGTAATGGAGGATTTAGTTCAATTCGTCGTGTATGCAGAGCAAATGAAGCGTGAACTGAAAAGCTAGGAAGCACTGGACAGCTATTTTGACCTGGTTGGGTCTCAGCAGCCGTAGTGTGAACCCATCAACCAACTGGGGATCGAACCAATGACCTCATGGGCAAGCATGCCATGCATTCGGCCACTGGGCAGCTGATGAGACCGTTTTTCATTTTTCATTCACAAGATATATCACAATCCATGTGTACGAGCTTGTTGCGGGCCACAAACCCTGTTCATCTGGGCACTAGATATTATTTTTCAGCTGGGTACCAAACTTGCTTTCGTGTTTGCTTGATTACTCCACTAGACCCAACAATTAAAAGGATGCACCAATAGTTGTTTACCAAGCCTAGGTGTTGAGCATGAGAGTTCAGATCTATCCCAGGCACTACACCGTACTGAGTGAGCAAAAGTGAATACTTTCAGGGTTCATGCCGGGGGCCGGTAACCTACAGCCGCTTTGTTTACAAATACATACAGCACAGGTCAAGCGGGGACGATCGGGCGGTAATATTGACTAGCGCATCAACACACAGGATACTCGTATCCTTCCTGTCACCATCAGAACGGCCACAGCGACCAGACCTTCCTCAATTTTCTTTACGTTCATTCACTAGCGTTGTTTGTGGAAAAATTTATTAAGAATGAATTTTTATATTTTAACAGAAAGGAAGTCAGCATCACTACCACTGCAGACTTTTGACTGGTTCATACAACAAAAAACAGATTTTTCTCATAAAATAACCTCAACATTTGTAATATGATAATATAAATAGGAATAAAGATAATTAGCTGAAAACTGTATGGAACGTGAATTTGTTGTATAAGAAAAAGGATTAGGACTATTGATTTTCCAAACTCGAAGCAGTTGAGAAAAAATGAATGAGATGACATCACAAAATTCCGTGTGAAAGTGTAAATGATTTCTTAAATATTGCAAACGCAAATAATGATGAAATGTGTCATCGTTGGATTTGAGCGTACGGACCAGTTTGTGTTCGATGTATATAGTTACTATTGATGGTTACCATCACCACCGTCGTACACCTCCTCATTGTCATCGTTATCATCATCTTGAGCAGCGGTAAATGCAATATTCACACCGCAGTCCAGTCTCATTCGAGGTGGCAGGCAATTGGTATTATTTAATTGTCAAACTGTTCACAGTGCACAAATGGACGCTTAAAGTTCACGATAAGTATGGTTTACCATCGAGTGGAATATTTCGATTTATACATGCCTATGGTTTAAATCTAAGGAAATCAAGGTCGTCAAAAAAGTGCCTGTCTTGCTGATTCACTTCAAAAGTGGCACTATTCCTTAACACCAGTTTATTTAATTTGAACGGAACTGTAGTCCAATCGGTTCTGGATTACATGCAATGCATGCATGTTTCACATCACCGCCGCCGCCGCGCACATGAAACACCAGATCCGATCACCCGTATAAAGCTTCACTTTAAGCAAAATTCATTTGGGTAGTATTTTCAGCTTGTGCATGAAGTAGGTAAGATGGGGTTAAAACACGCCTAGATCTTATGCTGAGTGTGACTAGTAGTACTAGTTGTTGTTGTAGTAACCTCATCTAATCACTCAACTGCTGAACCATAAAAGATCGAGTGAGACACTATACATCTTTTTTGTGTTTTTCCAATAAAATACAATCGTTATTAAAAGTAGTAAAGTGCATGGATCTTTTTAATGCATGTAAGTGCCGCATTTGGGATCCACTATATCCACCGTACCGCTCAAACCGTGATATGCGGTGATCGTCTATGTTTGACTGTGTCTCGTCAAAATATTGTTTTGCTCCGTGACTATCAAAGTGTTTTATTTCACTCAAGTGAAAAATTACCGGTTGTATGCAAGACAAGTTCCCGTTCTACTGATGCGAATATCATAAACTCGGCTTTACACGCGCGAGAATCATGATTTGTTTGCCCAAAATACAGTTCCAACTGCGATTACAATTCAAGGCTTCTCAAAGACCATTAAACTGGTGTCGATTTGGATGATGTTCCAGGTGGTTTCTTTTCTCCAGAATTACGAATGTTTCAGATGAATAGCATTTCAAAACAATAAACGCGATTTCTACAACAGTGGGGTGCACGAGAACTGTGGCTAATTCATCGAGTTGAACAGGTCCTTCATAATTGAGGGAAATTTTACGTTGCCTGTCATGGTTGTTTTTAGCCAACCAAGAAATTGTGACCGGGTTCGCTGAGCAGAGTTCAAACTCCATCCGTGGAAATATCGGACAGATGATGTGAAGGTTAATCCAAAAGTAAGTATTCAATTATCACGGGTTTATCAAAATGCAGCTAATGAAGTGTATCATGTAGATCACTAGAAAAGTTTTCTTTGTATGTAGTGGAGGTATGCAATTGATTGAATAAGCAAGCAAGCAATGCACATCCTGTTAGGCTTCCACTGTTTTCTGAACACAGGTTGATTAATCTCCCGGTAATATACCGGACTATTGAGATTGGTGAATCTACTCACCTGCCTTATACATCTCTGTTTCTTCCATTCCCGTTCTTTCTCTCGGTGATATATCTACAACTTCCTGCTGGAAAGCCCGAAAGTGCGGAACCCTAACTGAAACTGCTGGGTATAAATGTGTTGGAATCTAAAACCAATCTGAGGCTACTTCAGGACATTGCTTCACTGTTCTTGAGAATAAAGTAACCTATTACCGTTTGAGTTTGTTAAAAAAAGAGACAAGTTAGTTGATTGTGGTCTATTTTCGAATTTCACATACGAAATCGATACACTCGTATGCATGAATGAAGTAGCATATGATTTTTATCCTGCACTCAACTAGATCTACCGTTTCTATCTTTCCTCACAACGAGGCCGTTCGAATATTCCACTCATGCACGCACTCATGTTCTTGGCAGTTCCTGGTGTAGAACTGATAACCCAGATTGAGAAATTTAACCAGTCGATCAAATCTGTGCATTCACATGTGCTCGTGAGCTGACATCTGGATTGTTTCATTAAGTGTGAAGCTCGGTCCGGTTAAATGTCAACCGATGATTGACATTTGTCATGCATTAAACCTGCTTCTTTTTAGGCAAAAAGATAAATTTATCCAAACTCTTAGTGAATGCAAGCTTGAACAATCGTTTGAACTGCACGAAATCCTGTTTACTTCATCTTTCCCCAACGGTCCAGTCATGGAAATTTGTGCACTAGTTTGCCGTTAGATGTTAGTTCGAATGAATACCGTGGCTGGGTATTACAGTGGATGAAAATTATGCCAAGTGCTGCCCGATTGACCAAGTGTGCAATATGGCCACGTTCTGTCTGTGAGGTCGGCAGTGAAAATCTTCGACTGGGGTCATAAATTAGCACGGCTGACTACAGCTTACATGTACTGTACGTGTACAGTGATTTCAAGACCTCACTTCACACCGTCTTTCCCCGTAAACTGACAGCATGTGGGAATCTTTGGTTCTGCTGCTGTGAACAATCAAATCGACTGTGATTTCTGCACTCGACCCAGAGACGTTGCACTGAGCTTATCCAGATGCATCCTTTGAAATCGACTAACAAGTTGCACGTGATCTTGCCCCATTCGGATTCAACACGAATTCATTTACTTATTTGACAAACCAGCCGTGCGGATCCGATTGGCTCTGACTAAAATGGTGTTCCTTTTGAATTGAATGACGATAGTATTCACTGGCAAGGTCAACACTATCCGGTCGACTGGTACGAGGGTTAAACACAGTGATGAGGAGAATATCGAAGGGGACTACTTAAATCGCGCAGGTATGAATGGCTTACTTTGGGTGACATCTGCTAACCAGGTGTAAATTAATGGTAGACAAAAACATGAGGATTTACCAAAAAGGTTGTAGAGTTACTTACCTTGTAAACTTTGTAGATATACACAACGTATACTCGGTCGCCGAAAGTGGTCGTCAAACTTTTGTATACGTAAACCAAAAGTACTGAAATGGGAGAAATATTGAACGGTTTCTTATCGGGCGTTGTGGATGAGAAAGTCAATCATTGAGAGCAGAGAACCAATGCAATATGCATAACGAAAGTAGAATAAACTAGTGAAATCACTCTGTGACATAGGTTGCAGGTTCGGAAAATAACGACTCTCGAAGACAGATTGGTTAGTTTTCACCCGTGATTTTCCTTTGAATCTCGTTCAGCGTCGACCGTAACTTACGCACAGCCTGATGTAGTTCGTAGGGATGAGGCACGTTCTGTGGGTACCATGACAAAGGCGACCACCATCGTGAACAAATATCCCACTCGTTGACCCAGAAATTTACGTTCTCAAAGGTGAACACTAATTTAAGGAAAAATAAAACAATGCTACGTATCCGTTATAAGCTTGAACTCATTCGATTAGGTGTGACATAGATTGCAAAGTAAGCCCAAACCATTTAAGTGATTTTCGAACAATCTCCTATCACATGTTTGCATTACAGAGCTGATGTGAGCAACACAAACATCAACCTAACTTTTGCAGTAAACAAGAAACAGTCACTGTGTACCGAAAAAAAACGCAGCAGCTTCAACGCAGTCGTGCATCGAAGTTATCTCAGGTCACATGAAATCGAATTCTCCTACACCTGTGTGATCCATGGAAACGGTGTTTTTCGTGACCTAGCTTTTGTTTAGCCCCTTTCTTTAATCACCCTGAAAAGCCGATGCAACCTTCAGTGTTCCATCTGAATCCTCGGGGTCAACTACGTTCTGCAGAATGTCTAAGTCTATTGCCCAATTACATTTGTGAATCGGATGTGAGTCGACGTAGGAACGAATACACTGAAAACTGGAAATATTCGTAACCCAGAAACAATTTACCACCACATGGCAATGAATGAAAGTTTTCAAAATAAAACTTGTACACTATATTGTAAGAGGTAAACGTGTTGGTGATAGGCATGATCTAAACATTGCGAGATTTTTCTTAAAGAAATATTTAAGTTTATACGCCATGCAATTTCATGCATTGATTACACATTTGATTGGGAATACCTAATAAACACATTTTCAGATTAATGCTTAGCAATATTGGCATTCAGACGCGAAAAACTGTATTTCATGAAGTAATATGCCTTAGTTTATAAACCGTGATAACCTTAGACCGGCTCAATTCAGAGGGATTTCATTCTGTTTGTATATGATGATTCGAAATACTCAAAAATTATCGATCGATACCATGCATCAAACGCGTCTTGCAGTATTGTCATATTTCGAGATCGACAATAAAACATCTAATTAAAGCACAAACTGTTGACAGTGTCTGTGCGGATTCCGGGATTTTTGAACTGTGCGTTTGGTGGATACTTTTTAATCAGCCACATGAAGTTTATTTCATGGAGAATAAGCAGCGTTGCAGTGATAACCGCATACTTTCCTAATTTCAATCGACTGATTGGTCAGGACATGAATACAGTGTCGATAATAGTTCTTGGGTAACTTTAAAAAGATCTAGAACTGCCCCAGCGTGTCAGATACACAACAATTGTGTCCCGGATGTTTGTTCACAAACCAAAAGAAAGCGTATGTGCGTTTTATATCAAGTAATGACTGTTGCTGTTTCTACAGTCTTTCGATAATTCATCGTTCGTGCAACCAGGTGCAAATTCTGACAGATAAAGCTTGAACCTTGCCGCGCACATGGAGTAAAAAAGCCGGGAGAAAAATGAGTTTTGTTTAAACCTCTTGCTGCCCAAATGATAACTCCGGTTATGACTTAATCTCCTTGTTTCTAGCATTGAGTAGAAAAGGTCGATAATGATGATTGTGATGCAAATCCAATGAAGGAATTTCACCAGTATGCTGTTTCCAGCGGGAGTTTATAAACTGTACACTTTAACGAACAAAATTCCAGTTCGGAATAATAAATATTTTCTTTTTTCACTCGATAAAAGATTGGATACTAATAACATTCGCCAACAAATTTTCGATAATAATTGATGATAATTGGATAGTGAAGAGATGAAACCGATGTTTCCCCAGATAGACTTGAAGGATAGAGGAGCATAACTGAGCTAGGTGGCTGGCGTTATGCCGGGGGAGATTTCTCTGCATCTCAACACACGAACCAATTTTTGTTTTTAAATTTGTTTGCTTACAACAGTACCA